TGAAGTAGCTATTATTTGGTGTTTAGTGTTTATTTTAATAGAGACTTCACCTTCCTTTAACTTCCAGATGAACTTAAGTGGTACTGGTTATGAGAGTAGATCAGCTGAAAGATTAAAGACATGAATACTGCAGCAGCATTTCCTTTAGTTTGATGGTCCAGACTACCTTTAGGTTCAACCCACTTGGTTGGGTACATCAGCACCACATGCCTTGACATTTAGGCATGGCTCAAATATTTTGGTTGAGCAATGCATGAAAGGAGTGTTTATTTCATCCTGCGACAGTGACTGAAATGGGTGTCTCTAAAATGATAAATTTAGATTTCATTTTTCTTCCTAAGCAAGTTCATGGAAGGAATCGGGGGGAATACTACAGTAAAGAATAGAACATTCCTTTTCCTTGTCTTCAAAGAATAGAACGTTCCTTTTTCTCCTTTTCTCCTCGGGAGGCTTTCTGTGCTAAGCAGTTTAAACCTCATCTCTTTAATGAGCCGTTGAGTCAACAGGCTCCAGGTTGATTTGTATTCACTGGATTGTACTCATCCTGAGTTTTATTCTTTAAAAGACAGCTTTTGCCTGTAAAACACAGTGCTGTACATAGACTATATATAAGTTAATGTATAAAAATATATGCTTATATGCTTTATCTATATATATGCAAGCATATAAATGGATTATATGTATAAAAGTGTATATATATATGTATATGACATAATAGCATAAAAAAATTAATGTGATGTTAGAAAAGTAGGCTCAGGCCCTTAGGGTGTTTGAAAGGCTGAGTTTCGTTTTCTGGACTAGTGCTGTAACACTTAGGCCATTGCTCAAAAGATAATTTCTGTTGCCTGCCTTCCTCATCCCAACTTTTGCTGAACTGCTGTAAGTGATTTTGAGGTCAGCTGTGAAACTGCTGGGTTTTTTCTTCTATTAGCCATCATAGGTAACCATAGTCATGCATTTTTAAACTAGCTTTCATAGTAGTGAAAGTATGAATGAAAGGATGTTGGAAGTGCAAGACTGACCTTTTGCCACAAATTGCAAGATAAAATAAAAAATAAAATTTAAAAAACTTTCCCTTTATTTTCTGATCTTTGCTAAGTCGAGAGCCTTCAGCTCTAATTCTTCGGTGGTTCCAAGTGGACTAAATTATTTTTTTGCAATTTCAGACCTGTTCCAGTGACATTTGTATAGTTGCTAGTATTTTGCATCATATATACTGGTTTTGTCTGTCCTGTTTGACTGCTGATACCTCAAGAGGAAAGTCTTAAATTCTCTCTGAAAGAAATTATAAGGATAGCAGAAGAATGGGGAATGAGTTATGCACTATGCTTTATTTAGTGACATAAAGTATTACTCCCTCAGTGACCCTTTTTATTTTTGTGGTTTGGTGGTTTGGGGCTTTTTTTTTTTCTTTTTTTCCCTTTGATTGTTTTTGAGATGGAACTCTAATTGATAAGTTGTGGATAGTAATATCTTAATTTCTTTTTTGTGTTGAGAGGATGTTCCTTGTTCCGTTCTGTTTGCTGTTCAGTAGCTTTTACCTTGCCAGTGGTTCTTCCTAAACTCTGTGATAGTCCACATACCGTTAGGAATTGTGTTGGATGTCCCACTGTTTGATACTCATATTCTCCGTTATATGGATATTTCAAGAATCGGTTCACTTCTGTGACTGAATGAGCTATGGGCATGTACTGCCTGTGGGGAGAGAGGTTGTAGAATGGAAAGATTGATGAGTGATCCCTTTAGAGCACAGAGACTTATTGAAAGACATCCATTTCCTTGCTTTCACGTAGTGCTGCAGCATTTTTTATCCTCCTGAGTCTCACAAACTTGACACAACTGGTCAGTGAGCTGATCAGCCGTGTCTTTGTATGCTGGAGAGAGAGACAGAGAGGGAAAGGAACCGTGAGTTCATGATCTTGCTGATATTGAAATAGGTGGGCATGAGGACCATTGATTGAGTTCTGCATGTGATACTCGAGACTTGACAAAAGTCAGTCTTTTTGATGGGAAATCTGTCACTACTTTGGCTTTGCCATTACTCTGTTTAAATCCTGTGTTCTTTAAAACTGTTCAGTTGATTCAGTGGGATAATAAGCACATAAGGGTCTGTGTTATATTTAAATCCAGAAATGAGAGAAAATGTGAATGTTGTTACTATTACTATAACTCCATGATTAGAGGAAACATCTGATACTTTCTGGAGTCTTGATTGCCCCCACCATTCCAGCCATTGTATAGATTTGTTTGCAAGTTTACAGTTTATGCTGTACTAAATGCCATCGAGTTGCAAAAAGCAAAGGAAAAATTCACACTTCTATAATTATATTCTGGTTTATAATTATATTTATTTCTTGAACCCCATTTGAGCATTTCAGTAATATGTGTGGTTTTTTTACACAGTTGCATACCCCAAAGAGATTAAAGGAATATTGTGAAAGACTGATAGGAAAGCAAAATCAGTCTCTGTGTTCATTCACTATTGATAGTGATGAAATCCAATGAGATTTTCTCAGTCTTGGGCCACAGTGTTGGTAAAAATGACTGTCTGTGTTTGAATTTGGCTAAATCGAATACTGGAAATGGTACTCTTCTACGTTTAAATAGAAATCTGCCTCACAGGTATGGATACAAGAAACCTATTGCTTAAATTAAAATTCTTCTCCTTAACCATTTCAATATCCCTAAAAAAAACCCCAAAACAACAAAACAAAAACTCTTGCCGAGTTTCAGTGTCTGGGATCTGATTTTGACTTACTAAAATATCTTGAATACACACAATTAAAATTCTGTTTAAGACGGTTTGAACTCCTAGCAGAAGGATAAATCATAGGTGTATTTCATCTGGAAAGCTTAATGCAAAGTTGGGATGGGTTATTCAGACAAAGAACTCAAAACTAATGTTTAAGATGAGCTACAGCTAAAAGAAGCTTTCATGCCAACTAACCCTATCTCCTTGATAAACTACAGATTATTTTAGAATCACAATAACATAATTTTAATAAATTCAGAACATGTAAAACATTCTGAAAAAAATCAAGTTCTGTATTCATTCATGAGGTCATAATCTTCTGTAATAAGCTGTCCTCATGTGTAAGTGATTGCTAAAGCTGAGGTTTAGATACTGCTTTGATGCTTACTGTACCCTCTGCCTAGGTAGATCTACACTTCTAATTCTGACTCTGCAGTGATTTGATCAGATCATGCACTCCACTTATGCACTGTGGTCTGTTGCCAGGTGACCTGTAAGTCTTTCTGAATGCACATCAGCATATTTTTGTGCCAGATAACAAATTGAGTAATCCAGTGCCTCTGTCATTCTTGTCACTTTATTTGTATTTATTGTGACTAGCTTTTGCACACTGTAAACAACACCAGTGGAGCTGCCTGTGCTGTTACATAGAAAAAGGATTGCTATAAAAATGACTAGAAGATAATATGTGACTGGGGAATGAATATTACTCATTCCCAGTGAAATGTAGCAAGTAGATGGACAGAACATCCTGCTGATAATGTCCGTGTGAAAGATATATCAAGAGATGAGAGCTAGAAATGAGAAGAGTATTTTCATTCACCAGTCAGCTATGTGATACTTAAAATGCAGGAGACTTTTTAAATTAGTATCTTTAGCTATGGAATTGAATCTTTCACTTTCAGGTAGATTAACATGTAATTATCATAGAGACTCATAGGAAAATTTTCATGTTCTAGAATTTTTTGTTTCCTTGTTTTGTTTTAATTCTGCTTAGCTTGCTATTTATTATTTAACAGGATGAGGATTAATTTTCTTTCTCAATTTTAAATTTAGAATAAGAATTTTATGTCCTTCAACTGGTGAGTCTGAGATATAGAAGAAAAAACAGTGTATAAGAAAAAAAGGAAAGGGGGAACTGTGAATTTTAAACATTGTATTCTTATTTTACCTTCTCACATGAATTATTTCACTATTTTATTATCTATAAAAATGTTTTTACATGACAAAGGACATGTTGATAAGTGAAGTCCTGAATTTCTCTAAATAAATCTCATAAGAGCAACTTCTTTCTTTCTCTTTCTCTTCTCTTTCATTGCTAAAGTGATAGTAATAAACATACCTTTAGAGATACAGAAGGCAAAGACATGCATGACAAGGAAATTAAAGCATGGTTAACAGCAATAGCTGGCTTTTCAAAGGACACTACTTGAAAAGATAAACAGACTGGTAGAAAAGCCAGTGTTCAAGATCTTTGCTGAAATGAAGCCAAGAGCTGAAAGTACATTTCTTCCCCATATTAGTGTTAAATTAAATATTAATGACCTTCTTTTTTCAAAGATTTGTTGGGGGCGGGGAGAAAGGACGGATTATTTGTTTCTATTAAAAAAATAGCTTGAAAGCTAAAACATCTTTGACATATAAGCTGCCAAAATTCAGCCTTAAGTTTACTCTTGTCTGAAATCCCCTGGAAATACAAGTGGGTGTGTTTTGCTGGAGTAATCCCATGTAAATGCAGCACTGCCAGCAGCACTATAGTAATGACTGTTACGCCTTTGAAGGCACTCAGAAGTTTCTGTTCAAAGACACTTTTAAATAATTAATTCTTTTTTTTCTTTTTTCAATTTACATGGAATGTGTAATGACATCCTCCAAGTACCAGATTTCCTTCCTTCCCTTCTTTTCTTTCTCGTAGAAAGCATAAATAGAGTATTTTAATTAAGACACTTCTTGCTAACTTGGATAGTAAAGAAAGGTGATGAAAGAGAAGGTCCAGATAGTTCTTTGCTGAGACCCTTAGTTACCACAGAAGCAACAGCTTGGAAAAACCTGGGTACCTGTGAGGTGATCCTGGAAGCCTGGGATCCCCTCTGCGAATAAAGGGAGGCAGTTTTACTCGCTTCAGTATGAGCCCTCTGGCTCCTGGCAGTTCACTCTCTGACCCTTTATGTGGTCCATTTGCAAGACAGCTGCCTAGCTGGCTATACATGGGTTTCATTTTCTTTTGTTTCTTTTGTTTGTTTGACAGATACCGAGCGTCTATATTCAGTAGTGTTCGAAGAGATCTGTGGGCGTTTTGGAAAATCATATACCTGGGATGTGAAATCCTTGGTTATGGGTAAGAAAGCCCTAGAAGCGGCAGAAATTATTCGAGATGTTCTAGATCTTCCAATAACCAAAGAAGAGCTACTAAATGAAAGTAAAATCAAGCAGGAGAAGCTATTCTGTACTACTGCATTAATGCCAGGTATGTTTCTTTTCAATATTTACAGACTCTTTATGGAATTATTTAAATGCTAATCAAGCAGAAGTTTGTAATCTGTCTTCCACAAAACAGTTTCTCTTACAGATTCTGTCTCATTGCTGTCATTTTAGCAAGTCTTACTCAAATCCACGTTATTTACCAGTCTAAAGAGATATTTTACCTGTCAAGGAGTACAGAAACTTCTTTCCCTATTTACTTGGAGAAAAGCTTTTTTCTAGGTGTTTTAAAAGAAAAAAAAGGACTAGGTACATATGCGTGAATTCTGTTTTGTAAACCAGCCATTCTTTATAATTGTTGTTGGCAGCTTTCCCTGACTATGAGCATAGCTTTGTTTTGTTAAGCACAAATAAATTTGCCTGCACATTTGAAAGTATGCGAGCCCATGAGTTCTTTCAGTTGGGATTAATCTCACTTAACCTGAACACTGAAACTCAAGTAACAGTGTCTGAGCGTGTCACTGGCGAGGGAGGGTTCCTCGGGTTATCCTAAGACATGAGTGTTTCCTCACCTTTTACCAGTGATAGTGCAGAATACCCAAATGAGTAGCTTCAACCAGGTACCTCAAGATAAGCAAGAGGATGAATCTTATCTGTAGTGTGAATGGATACTTTTATATTCAATTACATTTAGATCTGAAATGCTCTAGAGAGAAATCCTCAACCATACAAGATTAGCGATACCTAAACCTAGGATTGCTGGTAACTTTATGTACAATGTTAAACTTTCTGGAGCAAATAATTTATGAAGGAAAAAAAAGGAGGAGATGGAGAGGAATATAAAAAAAGTATTAGAAGTGAAATAACTGCATGTCACTGTACGAGTTTGACTGTTATCATTTTTTCTCTTTGAACGTGTACTCATTTGTTCTGACAATTTCTACTGTGCATTAATGTTTTAATTTTTAGATGCTTTTTTATACCTAGTTTCATAATGCATTAGGAGAATGAAAGTTAAAAATATGTGATATGTTAGGAATAAATAACAAGCAGCAAAAATAAAAGGTGCCATTTTTTTAGCAGCTTAAAAAGCTTGAGTATTTTGTGCAGCCAATTTAGTTATCTCTTTAATGTCTTTTATGTGCAAGGTTTTTCAAATTGCATCTCTCTCAATCATAGTTCCACTTAAAACTGTAAGCCTAGTTAAACTCTTCAAAACAATGAGAAATATGGATTGATGTGTTTTTCATTTTTCATGTCAAACTTCTGGGGCTAAATTTTCAGCTATACCTTTTGCAAGCCAAACGAAAAAAAAACGTGGTCTGGGTTTAGAAAATGCCAGATGGACAGACTGGGTAAAATGTTAGGAGGCATGGAGAAGAGTTGGTGTAATGAAACAACATAGGTAATAGATGCTATTAAGTGGATTCTGTGTGCCAGCTGAAGATTGTGATAATGTGGCTGAGCTGGCTTAAACAGAGTTAGAGAGGTGAGGGAACAGATTAGCTGAAGGAAACATGAGGTTTTGTGCTGTTCCTGACTTCAAAAAGTGAATTCTGGGCTTGCTGAAGCTGGGCTATTATGGATGAAAACAGAAAAATTCTTACTGTGAGAAGCAAGTAAACATTTTCATCATCCCCAGAATTGTTCAACTGATTATCTTTTCAGTTCAACTAAATACACGTGATAACTTTCTTCAGGGTATTTTTTAAAGCAGAATTGATGTAAACTAACATACTTTATGCTCACTGGCCATTGTGGAGAGCAGAGGCATCCTTGGTCACTAAACTGATATGATCTGTCCTTTACTTGGAGGCAGCATATGAGATACAAGCTAAATTGCCATGAATTTTGAGAGACCAGGCTGATGTCAGTTAATAAGGTAGAGGGAAATGGCTCCAGCTGCTTACCATCTAGTTTCTTTAAGGACTGTTCTCCAATCAACCAGATTTTTAAATCTGATATTTTCTTCTGCCCTTTTGTATCTTCTGAGAGTGTTTATTCATATAATCCTTGTGGATTTGTTTTGCAGTCTCTTAATGTTCTTTAATTAAGAATGGGCTTCCTGCATATGTTGTGTAAGATATAAGACTGATGACATTTTGAGTTTACACTGTTCTCTGACTAAATTGATCTTTCAGATGGTTACAGGTAAATACAGGAAAGTGAAAGTTAATTGTCATATTAATGGCATAGGATGACTGAAGTGCTGTATCTCTGGCCATCTTTTGACAGTTAATATTCAGGTGAGGTTCTATTTTTTAATCAATTTCTAAAATTTGTCCAAAAAATAAGATTGAAATTTGATTTGGTGGAGAGCAGAGCTAAAAAATGACCAGTGATATTTAAAAAAGTGACTCAAGCAAATCAGCATTTGTTTCTGGATGTGGAATGAGCTATGCACATAATTTTGCCAAACATGATAGCTCTATTAATTCCCAAATCAAGTAATTGACAGGTGTGTCGGTGACAGTTAAGGATAGTGTGGAAGTTGTACGAATATTTAATTGGCAAAACAGTTCTTTGTCTGACAGGTTAGAAACCTGTCCTGGTTTCAGCTGGGATAGAGTTTGGTTTTTTCTTAGTTGCAGGTATATTGATGTGTTTTAGATTTAGTACAAGAATAAAGTTGATAACACACTGATGTTTAAGTAGCGCTTCCCCCAAGTCAAGGATTTTTCAGTTTCCCGTGCTCTGCCAGTGGGCAGGTGAACAAGAAGTCAGGAGGGAGCATGGCTTATCTGAACTGGCCAAAGGGATATTCCATACTGTAGAACATCATGCCCAGGGTATAAACTGGGGTTGTTACGTGGGAGAGGGACGAGTTGTGGCTTTTGGATGGGCTGGGCATCAGTCAACAGGTGGTGAGCAATTGCATTGTGCATCACTTTTCTTTCTTAGGTTTTATCTCTCTCTCCCCCTTTCCCTTTCATTTTGCAATTAGTTGTATTAGTATTGTGATTATTATATTTTACTTTGTTTTGATTATTAATCTGTTCTTATCTCAACCTGCAAGTTACTTTTTTTCCTGATTCTTCTCCTCATCCACCAGGGAGGACACACGCACTGAGTGAGCAGCTGTGTGGTACTTAGTTGCCAGCTGGGCTTAAACCATGGCACAGGCTATATTACAGCCATACCACTTAATGTGCAGCACTTCTGAGGCATGAGTGGTTGAGTGGTTGAAGACAAAATTTTGACTATTTCAATATGGCTGAACTGACAGACAAGCCTCAATACATCTGGCTGTGGTCAAAATACAAATTTCGTCTAAGAAGAGTCTATATCCATTTCTAATATGGAATTTTCTGGTAACTATTTGAGAGTTTTTCACAGTTTGATTTATTTTTAGTTTTGAAAGAATCTTAAGGAATGGTAGTTTTGATTCAGTGGAGAAAGAAATTAATCCAAGAGAACACTGACAAAATGACAGGCCTGCCACTGTGCTGGTTTTCTAAATATTTCTGTAGGAGTACAGACATTGTTATCTGCAAGAGTAATATAGTAGGTTTTCTGTTTCTGCAAATGCATTTTTAGCATTTCTGTGTTACAGGGAAGTGCATAGTCTGAAGAATAAGGAATGACAGGTGGAACAGAAGAAAACCATGCATATGTATATCTACCTATACATGTTTAAGTGTGCTTTTGCATAATATAAACCTAGAATATATACAGAGCCAGAAAAACTGAACTCCAAGTTATACAACTGCCAACAGTTACTGTGATCATGTCAGGATTATGAAACTACTGCTATTCTTTCATAGTAGTCTCTGGTTTGGCTCATCATCATTATCACAAAGCGCAGATCCTTAAGGATTGTGTGACTGTGTATACCTTTCAGACATTTTCCATTCCTGGGTTGTTTTTACAATAACAGGGATTTAGTTGTTGCAGCTCTTGTTCAGCCAGTGCAGAATGTGATGTGCAAGCTATTTTTCAGTTCAAGTACAGTTGACTGTTTCTTACAGCCATGAGGAGGTAATTTTATACCTCAATTTTAGTACCAAATGAAACCAGTCAGAAAGCATAAAAAGAGAATAAAGGAAAACAGTTCAAATTTCAATGGAAACTCCAATATATTTTTTTCTTCAGCAGTTCCATTCAACCAGCAGTCTAGTGAGCTTAACTGTAGCTTCCTTGATGTTGTGCCCTTAACAGGTAAATAGACTTCCTAGCATGCTATCTTTTCTTTTCATTGCTGTTACTGTTTTAATGCTAGGAAACTCTAGTGAGTCAATGCTCGGCTCAGTGAGCCTGTAACCCTTAGATATCAGTCAATTAGATATCTGCAAACTCAGAATGATGCTTTCTGTTTGGCTGATTTCAAAGATTTGTCCTTTACATCGAGTCCTAAAGGATTGCAACCCAAACATGCTTTTATCAGGAAATCAGAAACACAGTTGATGCAGGTTCTAAATTATGTAAAATTTAGTACTTATATTTCTTCTATGGCCATGCATGTGTCAGTATGTCCAGACTAAAATGATAATAATGATTCAGTGAATAAGGAGTCTCTGCTACCAGAAAGATCTCTGGGACTTTTTAGAAGGCAATAAGATGAGAAAACAAAATTCTTTATTAGTAGTCAATTACCTTCCAAAGTGGGGAATAGGTTAGTAGTTTCCATCTCCAGTTTGTAGCTCAGGGAAAGGATAACATACCCTTGCAGATAGCATTTTTAAACAGTGTATCATAACAAAAAAAGAAGCAGGTTGATCTGAGAGTTACGTTTCCATAGTCTCATGAGATTTAGGAATAGAACAGAATAAAACAGAACAGAACAGGACTATTTCAGTTGGAAGGGACCTACAACTATCATCTAGTCCAACTACCTGACCAATTTGGGGCTGACCAAGTTAAAGCATTCATGGCAATTAAACCAAGTAGTGGATAGCCCCACCTCTGTCACACTGTCACCTTCACAGCAGCAATCCTGACTTCCCCTGAGGATTGCAAGAAAGTGTAGATAATGAATAGCACTGTGTTGATGGGCTTGCAATTGTTGTAGCACACCAGACTACATAAAAAATATTTTTTAATGATTTTATGGCTTAAGTTAACAAACAGCGGCTTCTTTTTGTAAGTGAAATTTTTTTGTGTTTTGTTGAGTGCTTTTAATGTTCAGATGCTGCTGAGGTTTTTGCCATAGAATTGTTTTTATAAACTTAAAAGACTGTCATGGAATTGACTAGAAATCTAGTCAGCCTGCAAAGCTCTGAGTGGTAATGCTAACTTTTCTTTGACTAAAGAATATGATGAAATCTTGAAAAACTTTAAGTTTGGTATCTTATCACATTCAATGTAGGAACTGTAAATGATTATGAAAAAAGGAGCAGTCTTTTAATACAGAAGCTATTTTTATTCTTAAGATTTTCATTTGTGCATATGGACATAAATCATCAAGATGTGTGTTTGCCCAGTTTATGATGGAGATCACTTTCTTGTCTGTTTTGAAAAACATACCCTTACTGGGACATATTCATAGAAAAAAGGTTTGGTTAAAGACATATTAGAAAAGAATAGAAGAGCTTTATAGTATCTCCTTTTTTGTCTGGAAACATTTCAAAAGAAATAGATCTGAATGTGGAGATAAAGAAGTGATATAAGTTAAGAACAGTGTTATGTTCAGTGATAGACAAATACAAGAAAAGGGATGGTACAAAAATTTGAAATGATATAAAATATAGCAAAAAGACACGTATTGTTCATTGTTCTGAAGTATTCTGCATGACACAGAGACCATGTTTGTATAAAGCTAAAAGGAAAATAAAAATTCCCTTTGTTTTTCATCAATTTGTGCTAGTTTTGAGGAGTTTTGTCTTGTTAATTTTCACTTCATAGTGAGTAATGCCATTTGATTAAAAAATGTGATAACTTTAAAAAAAATCATGTGGAAAACAGTGTTGTAATACCATGTAAGTAATTAGATAGGGATTCTCATTAGATCATTTTAGTGTAGCATTGTTTGGTTTCCTGAACACTTGCTGTACATGTTTGTGTTAGTCAATGAGAAGGAAAAAAGTGACAGTTAGCCCAAGGGTTTTGCTGTTCAGTATGAGTCTTATTTTTAGTTTGTTAGTTGATCCAATGTATTAGTCACCATGATTTCAGCTGAATCTAAAAAGTGCAAACACCACATTTGGAGTCTAATGGAGGAATAATACTTCCTTTTTTAAAAAAAGAAATATATATTTTTATATATTATTTTTTGCAATTTTCAGAACAAAAGCTGATCTCTTTCTTTGAAATGCATCTGTGGTCTCAGAAGAAATAAATCCTTTCTGTTGGTTTAATTTGTTTGGTTTTTTTTTTCCCAAACTTGATAACTTCATTGACATTTGTGATTAATTAGGTGTTAAAGATGCTGACATTTAAAGTTGATCCTTTTTCTTTGCAGCTACTGTAACGAAATTGAGCTTACAATTCTTTTCACCTATTTTTCTTTCCAGTAGTTACCAGTGTTGAACTATTGCATTTAGCATATATTGAGCTTCTGTGTCTGTTCTAAAACTTCACATTTAAAGACATAGCATAAGGAAACAGTATTTACTGCTTTGGTTATCTGAAAAAATGAGTACATTTGAAAATAAAGCATAGCAATGTGGGGTACTCCTGATTTTTTTGGAATTACTTGAAGAATTCATATACTGCATAAGATAGTTATTGCCTGTGTGCCACATTAGAAGTGTATCCTTATCCTGGAAGAACAGAGATCTTTATTTCTTTTGATCTTTCTTGATTTCTTGTTCTTGCTGTATGTGCCTAAGCTTTCAGTCAGAAGGGTGAAAGGTGGTCCCAGGAAGTCTAACAGAGGGGTCCCTCTGTGATGGATGGGCCCTGATGTAGCAACAAGGAAGTTAGAAGTTATCAAGATCACAGGAATTTTCAGCGTAGTTCTTCATGGTCTTTGAGTTCTTACTTGGTTGGTTTGATTGTCATTTGATTGAAAAATCTTTGTAGCTACAGAGGGTATAATAACACAGGATATACCAGGGGAAGTTTCTTACAGATCTTTAAAGCAGTTCTTCAATTCCCCTTCTGTTGATGTTTTCTTCTAAAAAACCACTATAAAGATACTGAGGAAGATATTATCTTCCTAATAAAGAATTATGTGCTGAATTGGTACAATAATTGTGTCAGTAATTTGATGTGGTGGCTAAGTGTCTAGAGCTATACTGGTGGTAGCTGATGCAAACAAAAATGGATTTTCTTGATCTATGGCTTTTACAAAGAGGAAAACAAACCTGGAATGAAGATATTATTCATCTGTTTTGAGTTTGTCAAGTTATGCTAGCTACTCTTCCAAATGCAGTTTAATTTTTTTCTGTGCAGCTGATTTGCCTTTTGCTTTTTCTCTAATCTATCTTGCTCTATTTACACATAAACGAATAATCATTTTTAAATGGCATATTCTTATTAAAGTGCATTTTCTGAATAATGTAAATATTTGCTTTCTGGAGGTATTAAGGACAACTGCATTTTAGCTCCCTTGTTGTGAGGGAAGCCAAAAAGAGAAATCAAACACGCACCTATACACGGTTACACACTAAAATCATGATGTGCTGGGGGAATATAAGAGAGGACCCTGGAGAAATAACCTTTCTGCAGCAGTGCTTTTCTGTGGCTGGCTACTTCCAATAGAAATATAGAATAAACATACCCTGTGAGAGATGAACTCAAACTGTGATGCAGTGGGACTGAAGAAAATTAGCTATTTGAAAAGAGCACAGCTTTAGAGAAAAGTAACTATATCATAGCAAGGGCATAGGAGATAGGAAAAGTCTTCTGCTTAATCTTTGGACTTCTTTATATTACTACATACATGACATGCTAGCCTTGCTAAACATTGCAGCTTATTTAGAATAAGTTCCTTAGAATGAATGCATTTTATTTTAAAGAAGGGATGCTTAGGCTACTGCTTTACATTAAAGTATCCTAGTACTTCATTAATTTACTATAGACTTACTACATGTTTCAGAATGAAGACTTAAACTATCTGGCATAAAAAGTTGAATTGTATTTAACGTCATATTTTGGTGAGAGGACATAATAGCATCATTTGGGAAAAATGGACTTGCTTAGTATAACCATTTAAGGAGGCATAGGAAGGCTTTCAAATGGATGATGCATTGATATTACAGGAGGAATAGCACTTGTTATTTCTGTCCAACTCGAAATCTAACATCACAGAAGTGCGTGTATTTAAAGTCATCAAATATGAACATGGAGCTGGAAATGTCAGCTATTAATTGTTTGCTTAGGTTCTGGAGAATAGATGAGAAATTTGCAGAGAACCATACCTACAAGTCCTAGTTCCAGACAGGTGGATTAGTTAATGCACCTATTTAGTAATCTACACACTTTATTATCAATAGTACTTACAACTTCTCCAAGTTGGGCATATGACTATACTTGGGAAAAATGTGTGGCAGATTAGGTGGTTGATTTTAGAATTGAAAGGCTAAGTCACATGGGAAATGCAAATCAGAGATGCTGGTGTGGCAAAGGAAAGAATTACATGGGCATGAGGAGTAGGAATGGTTGGAGGGAGCAGGGACCAGATGTAAGTAACCATGACAGCGAATCAGAAAGAAGGGAATAAGATTATTTTAGTATAACCAGACATGAAAAATATAAGAGTGCATGCACTTGGAAGGTAAAAACAGAGAATTGTGCTCAACTTGTTTCAAAGAGCCAAAAGTCAACTGGAATCTACTTGAACCTAAAGTGCCTGAAACTAATATCCTGTGTCCAACACCGTGGGACAGATTTATGCCAAGAAGCAGAGCTGAAATGATTATACAGATATGGAGGGATTTTCTCTTGTGATTTAATAAAGACCAGACATCCAATCTTGTTCTTCATTACACAATGCTAATTGTTTTTTCTGGGAGAGGTATTCAGCATTTAGAATGCTGCAGAAAAGGAGCATTAAAACCCCTTCAAAGAAAACTCAAAACTTGCACCTAATAACGGCGTGTGTTTCCCTCTTAACACAGACTGCTGTGCTTTCTCTGTTCACTGCATTAACCTTCCCTAGAAGACTGGATCAGATTGAAGTTTCTACCCATTAGGCTTGAGGTGTTCATTACTCTGGGTTCACAGCATCAATAGATAAAGCTCTGGTATTAACAACTGTGACTGACAGCTGCTCTCCTCTGCCTAGTGTTACTTGCTTTAATAATTGCAAAAGAGAGAAACTGAGTTCCCTTGGGGTCTGGCTTGAGCCAGTTGGATACCTGCTTCAGAAACTAAAACTATGCCATCCAGTGAGAAGTGTATATTTTTTTGATTCTTTTCTCAGGAGCATAACTGTATATGAAAGAAAATGTTCTCCCAAACTCTCAGAGTTCAAAGTAATAAACTTACATAATATGGGGACATTGCTTAATGACTTTCTAGTGGGTGTCATCATGTAATGATGTTGAACCCATTTTTGACATATTTTGAGAAAAGAATCACTTCGATAACAGAACAAGTATATATATACCTTGAGGAATGTTCCATGGTTTTTGTCTGGAGAAGGAATGTTTCAGATACAGCAAGAATTTTCTTTCACACTAACTGATCGAAACAGGTTATTTTATTCAGTAAGACAGCATTGTTAAAATATTGCTAAATACTTTGTAGTTAGGTATAAACATTAATACATATACCAACATACATGCATATATATAAAAACTAAAACACATATATTTGTCTTGCAGGGGTCGATAAGCTGATCCGTCATTTACACAAACACAACATACCCATGGCTGTTGCCAGCAGCTCAGATGAAGTCTCATTTCAGCTGAAAACAACCAGACACAAAGACTTTTTTGGTCTTTTTCATCATGTTGTGTTGGGAAATGACCCTGAGGTGAAGTGTGGCAAGCCACACCCTGATCCATTTCTGGTTTGTGCAAAGAGATTTCACCCTCCTGCACCTCCAGAGAAGGTAAGAAGGGGAGGGGACAAATTTGATTTAGGAATATTCTCTTTGGGATATATTTGGATTTTTTTTAATGTGATAAATACTTAGATTAAATTTAATATAAAGATTATAAAAATCAGCAACTTCTGTTTTCAAAGATGTTTGTGCTGTTGAAGGAAGAGATTTCCCCCCACTACATCTAGTGTTTGTAATGCAGATTGCTCTGATTTACTACACAGTAGCATGCAGTAGTATGCTACACAGTAGTAATGATTTTCTGCTGTGTAAATAAATCTACAATCTTAACTTCACTATTCAAAGTTTGGAAACAGTTGCTTAAACATAGTTCAGTTTATTTTCCATACATTCATAGCTGATTTACCTCTTAAGTATCAAAACATTAAAGATGGTTCTTTGTGAACAGGGCATATATTTTTCCTAAGCCACATCTTTCCTGTTGCAGTCTAAATCTCTGAGATCATAATTCTTGTTTCTGATTTAAAACCATCAGTTTGAGCAATCTTTCTCAAATAGTAGGTGTGTTTAGTTTTTCTCTCTTAGATATAACTTTCCAAAGTTTATTCTGAAATAGAAATCTGCAGGGAAAATATTTGAAAGATAAACTGAGAGTTGTTAAAATAATGTCTTCACTTTTATTTTAAATTAAATTGTCTTTATCCATGGAATATTTTCCTCACTTCTTCTCTGTCCTGAGTGGAACATAAGTTCTGAAGTTTCAGAGTTTCATTACTGCAGAAAAATGCATTACATACTAATTTTAAGGAACAAGTTTAGGTAGATTAGACTGTGATTACTGTTCTCTCAGTAGGATTATTGAGGAAAAAATGGCTACACAAATACAATTAACTGATTCCTCAGCCTTTCGTACTTCGAATTCTCACCCAGAGTCTAAATGGTATTTTCATTGCCTGAGAATACAAAGTGAAATAAGTTTGATGCAGTGTGGTTTACTGTGGAACAGTGTTAATCAAACTGTGTTAATCAAACATGGCATTGTAGGGGCGTGGTAGATACTTGTGTGAGTAGGCCTTGTGTATATGTCTTGTTCCAAATGTTGAAATCTGAGCAGCAAGGCTGTAGATCTCACCTTAGAGTCAAGGAGTTATGAATTTTGAATATGTTAATATTCAGTTCAGAGCACATATTGGGAAGCAGCCCAAGGTTTTGGAGAGAGGAAGAGAGGAGTTGAACACAAGCTTAAACCACAGCTTAATATTTTTTTTCATATAAAATTATTCTTCCTTGCTTAACTGTATGTGTAGGGAACAAAAAATCAGGGTATGTTCCTGTAATGTTGTATGGTATGGGTTTTTTTGGGAAACAGGATGAAGTGCATAATTGGATACTTTTTAATTGGATGGAAGTATAGCTGTAAGCTGTTCTGTAATTCTGAAAGTAAAAGAGCAGAAAGTATTGATAATTTATATAAATCTGGGTTGTAACTGTTACTGTATCTCAAGAAGTAAGAAAACTGAATGTCAACTGTGTTAATGGCAAATTAAACTATAATTTCATGTGAGGAGCAGAAGGACAGCTTTCCTAAAACTCTTTGTTTATTAGGCTCTATTTCAGAAAAGTCACAAGGTGGTAATAATTAAAAAGGACAAAAATATTAAAAAACAGCCCAAAAGCAAGCAACAAAACCAGTGACACTGTTGTAGATAATTGTTTGTTTCCTTAGTTATGTTAGCAATGAAAAAAATATTTAAAGATAATAGTAGCATCTATATTACACTTAATATTTTTAAACGATTTTAAAGGTATGTTGGACAAAATTACAGATTGTATTTTTGATTGGGTTTGTATTTTTATTTTGTTAACCTTTTTTTGAAGAAGAACATAAATGTTTGAATATATGTTTTTCCTCTATATGAGTTTACAGCATCAGCGTTCCCTTAGTGCAGATTAAATTCAACTGAATTTTTGTTGCATCTACAAAAATCACAAATGTTGAAGTGTGGGAATTTAGCACAAGCACAGAACTCTCAAGGGGAAGAAGAGTATTTAAAAGAGTATTTAAAGTGATATATAAATGGATATGATATCTGCTTTACTGTCATTGAAGGATGTCATAGTTGTCCATCTGGGAATTTCTTAAATGTTGACCTTTTTGTTTGCAGTCTTTGGTTAACTAGGAACTTAATAGGCATAATGATGAAACCACAGCACAGGAATTTTGATACACCCTGCAAATTCAGCCTAGGTCTTGCTATCTGGTGATACGTGAAACATCATATGAACTTGCAAAACCAGCAACAATGCACTGTCATATAAGTAATTAATTAAATCAGGTAATCAAAATATGATCTGGAGATTAAATACTAGAAAACTTAAATTTTTCTAAAATTTAAATTTAAAAGCATATACTCAAATTTCTGATCTCAAATGCACAGATGCAACTTGTATGAAAACCATCTGGAGCTGTACATATGTAGAAACAATGTGTTCTTGAATATTATAGAAATTTCAGACCAGAATGTTCAAAACACTGTGTTCTTTTTCATACATTTTATTTAGACAATTAAATAATACTTTTCATAGTATTATTTCTGTTTAGGTTTTGGTGAGGGAATACTTAAACAAACTTGACATGAGTAAGTCCAGGGACCCTGATGGGATACACCCTCTAGTGTCATTGCAAGACCAGTTTACATACTCGTTGATCAATCATGGTCACTGGGAGAAGTGCTCAAAGACTGGAGAAAGCAAATGTCACTCCTGTCTTCAAGCCAGGGAACTACAGGCTGCTAAGCCTCACCTCAATCCCTGAAAATGGTGATGCAAGAACTAATCCTGAAAACCATTTCCAGGCACAGGAAGGACAAGCAAATCATCAGGAGCAGTCAGCATGGCTACACCAAGGGAAAGTCATGCTTGACAAACTTGATTAACTTCTATAATGAAGTGACTGGCCTGGTGGACAAGGTGAGAGCAGTGGCTGTTGTCTCCCTGTGCTACAGGAGTGCCTGTGACACTCTCACCCACATGATCCTTGTAGAGAAGCTGTGGATGAGCAGAGAGTGACGTGCTTTGAAAACCGGCTGAACGACCAGGCCCAGAAGGTTGTGATCAGTGGCACAAGTCTAGTTGGGTGCCAGTGAGTAGTGGTCAATACTGGGTACAGCCCTGGTTAACATCTTTAGTGATGTGGTTGGAATGACGAGAAGAGAATGCTCAGGGGGATCTTTTTAATGCGTAGGAATACCCAAAGAGAGACAGTAAAGAAGAAGGAGCCAGGCTCTTTTCAGTGGTACCCAGTGACAGAACCAGAGGCAGTGGGCACAGACATACACAGGAGACTGAGCACACGAAAACACTTTTTTTACTGTGAGGGTGGCCAAGCACTTGCAGAGGTTGCCTAGATGAGTTGTGGAGTCTCCATCCTTGGAGATACTCGGAATTTGTCTGGACACAGTCCACAGACTGAATGAGCTCTGGAGGTCCCTTCCAATCTCACTTATCTTGTGATTCAGTCATTAACTTCACAAATTTGATCAGGGAAAAAAAGTAAGGAAACAAAAGTACTTTTCCTAAACAATATTTTTCTGTTCCACTTTAATTTATAGGGCTCACATTATTAAAAATAATGATTTTCGAATTTATAAATACTAGAATACTAATTTTTGCTTTAAAAGAGTTCATACTAGCATGGCCATTTGTATGTATTTTTATATATTTTTATATATATATATATATATATAAACTTTCAATACTGTCTTGAAGTTTTATTTCATAATAACAAAAATTATATGCTAATAAATTTAATTTAAATATGGCTCTAACTGAGAGGGCTGCAGACATTCCCATGCCAACATTTATACATACTTCCAATACACTTCTGTCATCAAAACCACATAGATTAATTATCCTCCTATTAAGGATGTTGTGGGCTAGGGCCTTTCTTTCCAGTATTTTGGTTGATTTGCCTACAGCTTTTCTGTAAAATAAAGGACCTTACTAGTAATTTAAAAGCAAATAAATCCATTTATATCCACTGTTTAAAAAGAGGAATAGATTGCAGTAATACAAATGGTCATAACTCTCTTATGAAGAATCAATCTGTTCTATTTAAAAAGTTCCAAGTGATGTAAATCATCACCTTAATTTAAAACACTATTTCTTTGCAGTTTCTTCCATTTCTAATTAATTAATTGATCCCATAGTTACAAATAATCTCTGTACCAAATCTAGTGAGAGCTCATTAAAATTTTTTCAGACTGATTAAATGGCATTAGGATTTATGAGTCTCAGTGGACTTTTTATGTCATAGAACAGAGAAGTTCTGCGACTTTTTTGCTACAGAAGATGTAGTGAGAGAGCAATAGATTCAGAATGGTATGATATTCAAATATTTTGTAATTTTATTCTGTATTGTACAAATAAAACAGAGGATGAAGAAGGTTGATTTAGCACTTAATGTGACCATCATTTTTGTGAGTTTTTTGTAAAAAGGATGCTAAAACCTTTTTTTTTTATTATCCCCTTTTTTTCCTTTTTCTTTTTTTTCCCCTTTCAACTTCACCATTTTTGGTGTATACATGTAGTGTATATATTTTACTTACTATGATTTTCAGATAAGCAGCTATTTTATGAGTGCTGTTTCTCTTCTTCCTGGAGGTTTAATTTATTAGGAGTACTTTATGTAAAGTACAGAAATTACAGACATGAACAGCTGTTTTAGGTGGTGCACTGAGCTGTAAATTGGAATGTCTGCTGTTGAAATCATGTATTTTAGTCATCATAAATCTACCCCTTTTCCATTTTATAAATTAATTGACTTACACTCTTTCATGAATGTTTGCAATTCACAGATTTGTTATTTGAGAAATAACAAAAGCATTAAATGCAAAAGCACATGGACATTTTTCAGCTTAGTTCAAATCTACATCAATGGCTTTTTCTTCAAGCTTGACTCTAGTCTGTCCTTTGCATAGGCCTATGTTACCAACTTTTCCTCATCTCACCTTCTAAATAGCTGTTTGTGGTATAAACCATTCTGATTT